TCACGCCAATTGCCCCGCACAGGTTACCCCTACACAACCTAGTTTGCATAACATCTAATTCACCACGTCCCTCTCACCACGCAACATGTACTGCATCAGATACACATCCCCTCTTACTGGGTTGAGTCCACGCTGCCAAACATTCGAAGACCTGTCATCTAAACACATGGAGCACTGCATGAATCGATGGCGGCTACTCCTCAGAGTACAACTATCTCTTGAGACCTGGTCGAAAGCCGTGACCACAAATTTACATTGGAGAAACCGTTACACTGGCGGAAGCGGCGGTCCGTTCTCGAAAGGGGTACCTTGCTGGACACCTCGCTGAGCTGTTGGGTTATGGTGTTTCGAGCCCCTGGTTGTGTGCTGGACGGCAGCCACGACAATTCTTTTCGAAACGGGGCCTTCGCTAAAAACGGCGGACAGATATGGCCCTGGACGTTCAACGGGGGCGAGTCTTGTTGTGAAGACAGCAGACTGTGGGGACGCATGGGGGGAGAACTTGGGACGGGAGGGTGTACTGCAGCATCGCTGACGCATCTTGGGTTGACTCTCCCCCTCTTCTTCATCCTGCTCCTCCGCTTCATCTTCCTCCGCCTCCTCTTCCTCCTCCTCCTAATCCTCCTCCCCCCTGCCACCCTGCGACCCCTGAATTCATCCATCCCTCAACCATCCCTCCACCACTCCTCCTGCTCTTCCTCTCATCAAACCCTTTGTCCCCTTCCCAGTTTCATCCTTACCTGGTGGCAAGAGGAAGAGGAGGAAGACGAGGAAGAGAAGGAGAAGGAGGAGGAGGTGGAGGAGGAGGAGGACAACGGCGGCGACGGCGGCGACAACGAACCAGGCGGAATTAGCGGAGGGGACGGGGACAATTGTGGGAAGGGCCTCGGAAAGAAGGAATCGGAGTAGTAGTGGTCGTGATAATAGTAGTGGTTGTACGTGTAATCAAAATAAAGAGTAGTAGTAGTCGTCGTCGTCGTCGTCGTCATCGTCGTCGTCGTCGCAGTCGTAGTCGTAGTCCGAGTCGTAGTCGTACTAGTAGTAGTAGTAGTAGTAGTAGTAGTAGTAGTAGTAGTAGTAGTAGTAGTAGTAGTAGTAGTAGTAGTAGTAGCAGTAGTAGCAGTAGTAGTAGTTAGTAGTAGTAGGTAGTAGTAGTAGTTAGTAGTAGTAGTGTAGCAGCATATAGTAGTACTCGTCGTAGTAGTGGAGTAGTAGTAGTAGTAGTAGTAGTAGTAGTAGTGTGGTTAGTAGCAGTAGTAGTAGGTAGCAGCAGTAATAGTAGTAGTGGTAGTGGTAGTGGTAGTACGTGTAGTAGTAGTAGTAGTAGTAGTAGTAGTAGTAGTAGTCGTAGTAGTAGTAGTAGTAGTAGTAGTAGTAGTAGTTCGTGGTAGTAGTAGTAGTAGTGGTAGTAGTAGTAGTAGTAGTAGTAGTAGTAGCAGTAGTAGTAGTAGTAGCCAGCAGTAGTAGTTAGTAGTAGTAGGAGGTAGTAGTAGTAGTAGTAGTAGTAGGAGGTAGTATAGTAGTAGAGTGTGTAGTAGTAGTAGTAGTAGTAGAGTAGTAGGTAGTAGTAGTAGTAGTAGTAGTAGTTAGTAGCTAGTAGTAGTTAGTAGTAGTAGTAGTAGTAGTAGGTAGTAGGTAGGTAGTAGTAGTAGTAGTAGTAAGTAGTAGTAGTAGTAGTAGTAGTAGTAGTAGTAGTAGGTAGTAGTAGTAGTAGTAGTAGTAGATAGTAGTAGTAGTAGTAGTAGTAGTAGTAGTAGTGTAGTAGGTAGTAGTAGTAAGTAGTAGTTAGTAGTAGAGTGTAGTAGTAGTAGTAGTAGTACTAGTGGTAGTAGTAGTGTAGTAGTCCTAGTACTACTACTACTACTACTACTATACTAGTAGTAGAGTACAAGTTAGTAGTAGTAGTTAGTAGTAGTAGTAGTAGTAGTAGTAGTAGTAGTAAGTAGTAGTAGTAGTAGTAGTAGTAGTAGGTAGTAGTAGTAGTAGTAGTAGTAGTAGTAGCAGCAGCAGCAGAAGTAGTAGTAGTAGTAGCAGTAGTAGTAATAGTAGTAGTAGTAGCTGTAGTAGTAGCTGTAGTAGTAGTAGCAGTAGAGGTAGGTAGGTAGGTAGGTAGGTAGGCAGGCAGGTAGTAGTAGTAGTAATAACAAAAGTAGTAGTAGCCGTAGTAGTAGTAGTAGTAGTAGTAGTAGTAGTAGTAGTAGTAGTAGTAGTAGTGGTAGTAATAGTGGTGGTCGTAGTAAGAGTAGTAGTAGTGAGAGTAGTGAGAGTAGTAGTAGTAGTAGTAGTAGTAGTAGTCGTAGTAATAGTAGTAGTAGTTAATAGTTAGTAGTAAGTAGTTAGTAATGGGTAGCTAGTAGCTAGCAGCTAGCAGCTAGCAGCTAGTAGTTAGTAGTGAGTCGTTAGTAGTTAGGTTTTAGTGGTAGTAGTAGGAGTAGTAGTAGTAGTAGTAGTAGTAGTGAGAGTCGTAGTAGTAGTAGTAGTAGAAGAACTAGTAGTAGAACTAGTAATGGTAGTAGTCGTAGTACTAGTAGTAGTAGTAGTAGTAGTAGTAGTAGTAGTAGTAGTAGTAGCAGTAGCAGTAGTAGTAGTTGTGATAGTCGTAGTAGTAGTAGTAGTAGTAGTCGTAGTAGCAGTAGTAATAGTCGTAGTAGTAGTAGTAGTAGTAGTAGTAGTAGTAGGAGTAGTAGTAGTAAGAGTAGTCGTCCTCGTCGTAGTAGTACGAGTAGAAGTAGTAGTGGTAGTAGTGGTGTTAGTCGTAGTAGAAGTAGTAGTAGTAGCAGTAGTAGTAGTAGTAATAGTAAGAGTAATAGTAGTAGTAGTAGTAGCCGTAGTCGTAGTAGCAGTAGCAGTACTAGTAGCAGCAGCAACAGTAGTAGCAGTAGTAGGGTTGACCTCACTCAGTTTGCCCCAGGGAGGCTTTGAGATTTTTCCGAATTCCTTCGGGGATCCTGAAGATCTGGGGTTCCCCTCGGGTTTCTGAAGGTCCGGGGATTCCGGAGGAACTCCTGAGTATCCGAGGCTGCCCTACGGACCTTCGAGGATCCGAGGATTCCTTGGGGATTCCGTCGGGGTTCTGGGGGATCAGAGGATTCCTTCGGGATTCCTGGGGATTCACTGGGGATTCCTGGGGGCCCGAGAGTTCCATCGTGATTCCTAAAAGGTCCCATGTTATTTTTTTTATAATAAACGTATGGGCAAGTACGTTTTGTTTTTGCATATGGTAGTCGTACGGTATTCGGATGATCCTCTTTTGTTTTCGTATAGTGATGGTATGAATGTTCTATGGTAATCGTATGGCTTTGGTTGTTTTCTTATGTCAATCGTATAGTGCCCATATGACTTTCTGATGGTAGTCGTATGGTAATCGTACGGTCTGGTTCTCTTTTGGTAATCGTATGGCTTTCTTATGGTTTTCTAGTGGTTGTATTATGCCTGGTCTTCTTGTGATAATCGTATGGTTGTAGGGTAATCGTATGGTCTGGTTATGGTAACCGTATTGCTTTCTTGTGGTGATCGTATGGTCTTCTTATCGTAATCGTGTGGTTTTCTTGTGGCAACCGTATGGTTTTCTCATGGTAATCGAATGGTATTCTTATGGCAATGGAATGTTGTTTGTGTGTGTTTGTTTGGTAGTGACATTGGTTTCGTCTGGCTATGGTATGGTTTCCTTATGGTCATGGTATAAATCTCTTATTGGTAAGGATATGGCTTTCTTATGACACTGGTCTAGTTTTCTTTTGGTAATGGTATGCCTTCCGTTTTTGTAATGGTATGGCTTTCTTATGGTCAAGGTATGGTTTTCTTCAGGTAATGGTATGGCTCTCTTATGGTAATGGTATGGCTTTCTTGTGGTAATGGTATGGTTTTCTTATGGTAATGGTATGGAATTCGCATGGCAATGGTATGGTTGTTCTATGGTAGTGGTACGGCTGTCTTATGCCAATGGCATGGCTTCTGGTGGTAATTGTATGGTTGCCCTATGGTAATGTTATGGCTCCCTTTTGGTTATGGTATGGTCTTCTTATGGTAACGGTGTGGTTTGCCATGATCATTGTAGGTATTCTTCTGGTAATCGTACGGCGTGCCCATGGTAGTGGTATGGTTGTCTGACTGTATTCGTATGGTTTTCCTATGGTAATGGTATGGTATTATCATGGTAACCGTATGGCTGTCCCGTGGTAGCCGTACGGTGTTCTTATGGTAGCCAGATGGTTATGTTATGATATTCGTTTTGTGGTGTTTGTAATGGTATGGCTTCCTTGTGGCAATGGTATGGCGTTCTTGTGGTGCTCGTATGGTTTTCTGGTGGTGGCCGCACGGTCTTCGTATGGTAATCCGATGGTTTTATTATTCGGGGATGGACAGACCTCCCTTTAGTAAAACGTGGTTTAGTGAAATCGACCTGCGGCCCAAACCTGGCGGGCGCAAGCCTGGAAAATAACGGCCGCGGCGCCTTCTCGAGAACCGAAAACGGACAATTCACTAATCGACGTGTCACTGTTGGGGGTTCTGTCCGCCCCCGAATTATGGTAACCGTCTGGTTCTCTTATGGTAATCGTCTGGTTTTCTTGTGGTCACGGCATGGTGTCCTTATGACAATCGCATGGCCCTGGGTCCGGGTGGGCAGGGGCGCGGAGGCCGGGCGAGGGCACGGGACGCGGTCAGAACGGGGGAGAAGGGAGCAGGGCTGGCCCCCTCGTCCTCCTCCTCCTCCTCCTCCTCCTCCTCCTCCTCCTCCTCCTCCAGCTTCTCCTCCTCCTCCTCCTCCTCCTCCTCTAGCTTCTCCTCCTCCTCCTCCTCCTCCTCCTCCTCCTCCTCCTCCAGCTTCTCCTCCTCCTCCTCCTCCTCCTCCCAGCTTCTCCTCCTCCTCCTCCTCCTCCTCCTCTCCTCCTCCTCCTCCTCCCCCTGCTCCTCCTCTTCCTCCTGCTTCGCCTCCTCCTCCTCCTCCTCCTCCTCCTCTTCCCCAAATGTCGGCAGACCTGCCTGATCCCGCACCCCGCCGGTGACAGCACTTGGCTCTCGATGCCGAAATACTTGCCGGTCTCCGCGAAACGCCTGCGAAGTCCGGGCGGTTGACAGACGGTCCACCATCAACGCGATCAACACATCGCAACGGCTCAGCATGAGCGCCGTCACCATATAAGCATAACAATCATCATCACGCCATCAACTACCATCGTCGACATCCCCATCATCACCATATCACCAGCATCATCATCTTCAGCATCCTCATCATGACTAGCATTGTCGTAGTCGCCTTCATTGGCAAGCACCACGCAAAGAAACCTATGTCTTCCGCCGGCCACAGGTTACCATAGCCATTTAGATCACTGTCTCTCCTCCGTCACTCCTCCGTCATCATGCCCTGAAGGTCTGGCTTAGAACCAGCATACACGAAAGCATTGGGGCCCAGACGAGGCCCGTGGAGGCACACCAGCCTCCCGCTCCTACCCCACCCCTAGGACGAGGGCGACGGCGATCTCTCAGGGAGATGCCGCCTTGAGAAAACTTGGGCGGCAGCCCTCAAGGTCGGCACCCAGATACGGCGATGCCAATCTTGGATATCGGGAAGCGGTCGGAAATTGTTGTTGGCGCGTCGAGGCGGCAGTCCTGGCGACACGCCTTGCCCTGCGAGCTGATAGGTGTCGCTCCGATCCTTGGGACGGGAGGCTGCGAAAGGCTCGGGACGTCGACGCCTTGGGGACCTGGGCGTGGTCAGCGTGTCGCGCCCAAGCGTCATGGGCCGGAACCAGCGGCGCGACACATTGACCGTATGCTTCAGGCTGGTACAGCGCGGAGGGGCGGGGGGTGGCGGAGGGGAAGAAAACGGAGACCATGGCCAAGACTGAGCGCGAGAGACGTCGTGCCGGTCTTGGCCACCGTCGGCCTTGGTCAGCGTCAGCTCGTGGATCATCCCCGCGAAGTGGCGACGGCCGACATGGATCATGACCAAATTCGGCATTGACAAGATCCCGCGGCATCGTGGCCATGGTCCCTCTGCAGTGGAGGCCATTCCACAAGAAACCCAACCCCGAGTCCCCAGGACGTCCATGGATTTTTGGGTGTGGGAACGCCACGCTGTCCATAGCAGAACCATCGCAGTCCAAGAAAGAAGCCCAGGGCACCCTGGAGGCAAGCGGAGTGTGTCTTGGCATGGGCCTCCACTGCACTGCTTTTGTTCCAAAGTTCTGGCCGCTGGGGGCCCTCGCCGAGCCTCGGGACCGTCAACGAAGACGGCTCAGGATGAGAAGCTGGTCCCCGGGAACGGGCCCAGACCTCCGATGGAGAAACCACGACGTCGGGGGCCTGGGTCGGGCACGCTCGGGCTACCCAGGGAGGCGCACAGCGGAGGCCCGTCCACCGGAAACCTTCCACAAGAAGCCCGGCCCTGAGACTCCAGGACGCGCGCTGATTGCTTCCCAGGAGGAGGAGGAGGAGGAGGAGGAGGAGGAGGAGGAGGAGGAGGAGGGGGAGGAGAAGGAGGAGGAGCAGGAGGAGGAGGAGGAGGAGGAGGAGTGAGGGCTAGACGGCGGAGGGGAGGAGGAGGAGGAGGAGGAGGAGGAGGAGGAGGAGGAGGAGGAGAGGAGGAGGAGGAGGAGGGGGGCGGAGGACGAGGGGAGGAGGAGGAGGAGGTGGAGGAGGAGGAGGAGGAGAAGACGAGGAAGGGGGGGGGGGGCCCGCGCCGCCCCGCCTGTACTCGGCCAGCCTTTCTGCGTGGGTTGCCACGAACAGGCCACCTGGCGCAGCCCGCCGCCCGCTCCCCCCGCGGGCCGCCGCTGCCGCCGCGCATCCCCCGGGAGGAGAGGAACCGTCGAGTGCGGAACCTCCTCCTCCCTCCTCCCCTCCTCTCCTCTCAGAAAATCCTTCCCTCTTTCATCCTCAATCCTCCCTCCATCCTCCCTCCCCCCTCCTCCTCCCTCTTCCTCCCTCCTCCTCCTCCCACTCCCTCCTCCTCCCCCCTCCCCCCGAAGGGGAAGGCATCGAGCACGCATCCGTTGACATCCCTTCTCCCTCCTCACGCTCTCTCCTCCCTCCTTCCCCCTTCCCTGCCATCGAATCCCTCCTCCCACCCCTCCTCCCTCCTCGACCCTCCCGCCCCCCTCCTTCCTCCTCGCTCCTCCCGTTATCCTGCCTCCCTCCTCCCCCCCTCCCTCCCGCCTCCCAGCGGTGGCCAACGGGCCGCGCGGCTCCATCGGGCGAAGGGCGGCTGGGCGCCACAGACCCGGGGCAGCCCCTCCAGAGTGGGGGGCGCTGCTCCGGGGAGCGGCCAGGAGCGAGCCCCCCGCGCGCCGCATACCCAAAGGAGGTTCCTGGAGGAAGGGGGCGGCCAGAGGGAGGCACACGACGGCGCACAGTGCGACCAGAAGTTCTGGGTACGGATCCCTCCCACCTCCTTTCTCCTCCGTCGTGCTCCCTCACTCCGCCCTGCTCCATGGTCACCCCCCCCCTTCTTCCATCCTCTAGGCCCCCTCCCCCTGCGCACTCCCCTTCTCCCCTCCTCGTGTTCCCCCTTTTCTGCTCCACAAATCATGGGCCCCCCTCTGCCCTCCCCCTCCCAACAAGGGAGAGGAGAGAGGGAGGAGGAGGACGAGGAGGAGGAGGAGGAGGAGGAGGAGGAGGAGGAGGAGGAGGAGGAGGAGGAGGAGGAGGAGGAGGAGGAGGAGGGGGAGGAGGAGGGGGAGGAGGAGGAGGAGGAGGGAGGGGGAGGAGGAGGACGAGGAGGAGGAGGAGGAGGAGGAGGAGGAGGAGGAGAGACCCTGTCCCGCTGCTCTCTCGGACGACGTGACCGGCTTGCGCCCGCGGCGCGGCCTGCGGAGGCAAAAGAGGAGGAGGAGGAGAAGAACGAGCGAGAGGAGGAGGAGGAGGAGGAGGAGGAGGAGGAGGAGGAGGAGAAGAAGAAGGCTGGAGGAGCAGGGGGAGGTGGGAACTCAGCAATGATGCCGTCGTATCGTGCTCGACATGTGCGCAAGGGCGCCGACGTTTATTTTTTCGGCGACCAGACGCACAGTCCTTCTGGGGGCCGAAGTCGCTGGCCGCAGCCGTGTCCCCTTGCAGCGGCGAGAAGGCAAACCAGGAAATGCCGTAGGGCAAAACCAAAAATCGCGAGAGGGCAAACCCAGACTTGTTTAGGTCAAACCCAAGAAATCCGGGGGGAACAGAAATCGCGACGGGCACATCCAGAAATCATGGCAGACCCCAGACCCAGAAATTCCCCAAACCCGAGGTCGAGAATGTCAGTATACGACCCCCTAACCCAAAGCCGCACACCGTCAAACCTGTTCCAGAACCCAGAGCGAAAACTACAAACCCGACACCCGAGTCCATGCGCCCTCCTTCGGCGCGTAGTCCCACGAACTAGCAGACAATAAAAAACGATTAAGTTCACAAAGATCCCCTCTCTCGCCGTCGGCGTTCACTTTTACGCACCCCCCGCGATCCCTGATGCACATACCGCATTTGCTCCCTTTACAGAAAATATGGTTTCTACACATGCGGCCAAAAGCCCACAGGCAGCCAGCACAGGCCCTCAAGGCTACCCTCGCTGAGGCGGGCTGGCATGCTGAAGGCATTATCTTCGCCATCTGCGAGCAGCGTCGACTCGGTCCCCATCCCCAGTGGCATGTGGGATGCTGGGAACTAGACACCAACACCAACACAGGGTGTTGCCTCCACCGGGGGGACGATGCTCCTAGATGCTGGCGATGAGGGTGCTCTTTCGGCCACCTGGGAAGCCCGCCCTGGGAGGGGTGGGGGCAGGCGGGGCTGAGCCGTCGCCTCATCTCTCCCTGGCACTGAAAACAAACTGCCGACAACAATGCGTTTACGAACAGCGCACGGCATGCCACCCGTGAGTAAGCGCCCAAGGCTCGATCTCGGTTCTGGGCAATGATGCGCGCGAGCAGCGCGCCCCCGACATGATTGCCGCTGCGCGCCGCCGAAGCCTCGGCGAGCACCGTGAAGGCACAAGCAGTGGGATCCAGGCGCAGCGTCCGTCGCCCAGGGCACCACGTCGACCGATGACCGAACCCTCTACGCGCAAGCATCGAAGCACGGCCGGCATCTGAGAACCATCGGCCAATCGACCTGGAGCCAACGAGCCAGCACTCGCGCGAAGAAGCTGCAACGTTCTCGAAGCTCGAGGAATCAGGAGTGAACTCGTGAAGCCTCGCCTTGGCTCACTCCCAGGCTGTTGCTGCAGCGCTGCGCTGGCGCGTCCTTGCGGCGTTGCTCGCACGGCGCCCGCGCCAGGGGACACCACGCGCACCACGGCATCTCGGGCACAGTGGCCCAGCGGGGACGGAGATCGGCCAGAAGATGCTGAGAAAGGGGAAGGGAGGGAGGGAGCGAGGGATGGAGGGAGGGAGGGGGGGGGGAGGGGGAGAAGGAGGAGGAGGAGGAGGAGGAGGAGGAGGAGGAGGGAGGAAGTAGCTGTCCGTGGAAAGGAGGGAGGTCCCCGTCCCCGCCGTTCTCGGTCCAGCTGGCGATCTCCGTCTCTTCCTGCAGCGGCGCGGGTCGCGGGCGGAAGAGGGGGGGCGGCGGCGGCGCAGGGTGCCCGAGACTGGGGAGGGCTCTCGGGCCGCGAGGGAAGATTGCCCTGGCAGCGGAAGAAGGGTGACAGGGAGGCGAGGAACTGCGGAAAGAGCGAAGATGCGAAAGCATCAACCAACCGAGAGACTGACAGAGAAAGAGAGGCAGATCACTGACCTCAGAAGGACGGAAGCAAGAGACCGTGGTACACATATGCATTATACACAGAAAGAAGGGGTGGACAAGGAGTAGGGTAATCCATTCGTATGTTAGTCAAGGCGGACCCCAAACAGTGTGTTTCTAGCAATACATGCTGTGCAAAATTGAAACGATAAATGTGGTGCAATCTATGTAGAGCAATCGGTGTCTGTTGTGCCATGTGTGCTGAGCTGTCTCTTGTGCACTCGATATTGTGCTACGAATGCGGTGCGATCTAAGCAACGCAATGAAAACCATACAAAGCACAGCAGCGCAACGAAACGCAAAGCACTACAAAGCAACGCAAAGAAACGCAAAGCAACGCAAGGCAACGCAAGGCAACGCCACGCAAAGCCACACAAAGCACCGAGTACCAAAGCAAAGCAAGGCCAAGCAGCGCAACGCAAAGCAGCACGACGCAAGGCAGCGCAGAGCAAGGCAGAGCAATGCAACGAAGAGCAGTGCAACGACGAGGCGAGGCAACGACGGGGCGCGCACGGCGAGCGCCGAGCCGCCAGACCAGCAAGTTCGAACGGACGGTTCTCAGACATGGCTGTCAAGAACCTACGTCATGTCGGATGTGCTCACCAAGATTGACTGCTCCCGCCTGAAACATGCAGACACTTTGCGTGTACGACAACAGGACGGCGCTGGCCAGCATGAGAGGAACAGGGACAGCATGGAGACGCTGAAGGTGTTCGGTCGACGGGTGCTCTTCGATGCACTGGTGATCGGAGTTGACCTGCTCTTGGTACCAGCTGTGCGCCAACAGCGTGTCCCTTTCCTCCTCAGTCTCCGTCTTCGATTGCGGAGAGCCGGTCAGCATCACTCTCGGATACCACAAGCGTCTCAGGGACGCTCGTGTTTCCGCGTTCGTCACCATCCCGAGCGCCATCGGCTAAAGTCAGGAAATCTCGAAAGGACCTCGTCGAAAGAGTGCGCAAGTCTGGAAGCGACCAGGCACCGTATCAGTCGAGCATGACTGCTGCCTGTTATGTCTGGGATGTTGTGTGTAGTGTTAGTTGACCCGTAGAATCGGAAACCGGGCTGGACGTCGTTATCATGACATATCAGCGTAATGCGATCAGCACCTGGAAAAGGCGATAGGGTGTAAACGCATTTGGCCAACCTGATAGCTATGACTTGATCGATCCTGACGTTGGTTCTAATGATATAACGGAAAGCCATATGTATCTTGGGAGCCAAGTTGCTTCCAATTGGTAATCGGTACTCCTTGTTGAGGTCAGGAACGTAGCCGAACGTGGTCGGTGCCTTCCCCGCTGGGAGCGCAGAGATGTCGGAGATCATAGTGCGCATAGCCATGTTGGCCACACCTAATTCTCGCACCATAAGCACCTCAACGAGGAGGGTCAATCTCGCATCAGGAAATTGAATCACATTATCTCTGTTTCTAGATTTGGCCACGAATTGGCCACGTTCCTCGCTGATTTCGCTGACCCTACAAGGACCGTTCCAGCCTCCATGATCGTCCTTGGTCATCGTAGGTCGGTGATAGTCAATCGTGTCTCCCACTCGAAATACTCTGCCCCCATCCGCCATGGTCTTTGCCTGTAGGGCTCTCTTCACCTTAGCCACCGCAATGGCTTAGGTGATAGCCTCCTAGGCGCTTTCCCGCATACGTCGTTCTCTTTCTTGGCCAGTCGGTTCGGGAGCGTCAAGGTCAGGTCCTTCAAAGTCGGGCAGCACAGCTGGTTGGCGGCCTCCGTAAGCATTGCATGGGGAGAGACCGTCGTAGAAGGCAAACGCACTGCATACGATTAAGGCTTCAGCTAGAAGTCGATGGGAAGCTAGTGTGCATGACCCCTCGGAGTATTCCGCTTCGGGCTTCAATGGTGTTGGCATGCTGCACTGAAGAACGGAAGAGGATAGGAAAGCGAGGAGGAAAGGGAAGAGAAAATGGAAGAGGAAAGGGAAGAGGAAAGGAAAGGAAAAAGGAAAAAGGGAAGAGGAAGGAGAAGAGGGTAGGGAAAGGAGAGAGGAAAGGGAAGAAAAAAGCCCCTCAGACAGCCCGAATGCAGCCCCGGAAGGGGCCCAGGACAGCCCAAGAGAGCCCCAAGATGTCCCAGGAGGGCTTCAAGAGGCCGCAAAGACAGCCCCAAGGGACCCCCCAGGCGGCCGACCGGAGCCCGAAAGGACCTCAAGACTGCCAAAGAGTGTCCCAAGAGGGCTCCAAGACGGCCCCCACAGGAGCCCAAGACGGCCCCAAGACGGTCCAGGTGGGCCGCATGAGTCCCTCAAGGCATAGAGGCGAGTGGTGTCACAAGCTACAGCCTCCTGGGCATCGCCACGCAGTGTTGCGATGGCATGGTGGCGCAACTTGGCGCAGGCAGCTGGACAGAAAATGAACAAGTGAGAAGGGATCGGGGAGGAGAGGGGGAGCGGGCAAGCCTGCTTCTGCAGCCCCGACTCCCAAACGATTGTGGTGCACGGAGCGGAGAGAAGGCTCTCGCGATTCGGCGCGACCAGTCTCCCTCCTGCCCCGGCGCACCGCAGAAAACAGCAAACGCGTTTGCCAATCAGCCGACGTCAGCGACAGCGTCAGCCCACCCTCCTCCTCCTCCTCCTCCTCCTCCTCTCCCCCACCCTCCTCCTCCTCCTCCTCCTCCTCCTCCTCCTGCATCCTCTCCTCCTCCTCCTCCTCCTCCTCCCCTCCTCCTTCTCCTCTCTCTTCCTCCCTCTCCCTCCTCCTCCTCCTCCCTCCTTCCCCCCCTCCTCCCTCTTCTCGCTTCATTCCTCTCCTCCTCTCCTCCTCATCCTTTCTCTCTCCTCCTCTCCTCCGCATCATCATCATCATCATCATCATCATCATCATCATCATCATCATCATCATCATCATCATCATCATCATCATCATCATCATCATCATCATCAGCATCATCATCATCATCGTCATCATCATCAGCATCATCATCATAATCAGCATCATCATCATAATCAGCATGATCTGATTCATCATCATCAGCAGCATCATCATTGTCATCATAATCAGCATCATCAGCAGCATCCTCATCAGCATCAGCATCAGTAGCAGCATCGTCCTCATTATCATCCATCATCATCATCAAGCAGCAGCAGCACCACCATCATCGTCATCATCATCATCCTCATCATCCTCATCATCATCATCATCACCATCATCCTCGTTCACCACATCCTCATCCCTCCACCACTATCCCGAAACGCCACACATCAAGCATTGACCAGGACCCACCCTGGTGTCACCGCAACCTCTTCCAAAAATATGGTGGAGTCCCTCGGTCCTCCAGTTTCTTGCACATCATACGGCTGTAGGCGTTCAGCTCTATGTCCGCGTCGCTAGGCCTCCCGCGCTTCCTCATCCTTCTCCTCCTCCGCTTCCTCCTCATTCTCTTTCTCCTCTTCCTCCTCCTCATCCTCCAAATCCTCAACCTCAAACCATCATCACATTCAGGCACTTGAGGCATAGTAAGCGGATAGACACGCTCGCCACATTCCACGAGGGGGAAAATGCGCGCTCCCGGGCGAAAGTCTCTTGATCACTCTTGGAGCCTGCTAGCGCCCACGAGAGACCAATGCAACGACGACGGCGGCGGCGACGACGGCAACGATGATGGCGGCGACGACGACGACGGCGGCGACACAAAGAGAGAACAAACAGCGAAGGCCATGATAGCCGTCGGAAGAAGAAATGCACAACTCCCCCAACTCATCGTGTTCCTCCTCCCCCTCCTCCTGCTCCTCCTCGTTCTTCAATGGCTCTCGCTTCACTCTCCCAATCCCTGATCGAAGGAGCTGCCTAACTAAAAAAAACATCAGCCTAGACCACCACTCCGCCTCCCCGTTAGGTTTAATATGAGGTCTTAGTGGCTAGGGCGAGGTAATCTTGAATTCCCGCGACCAGGGAAGGTCCCCTCTCAACAGCTGCCTCCGCTGCTGGACAAAAGCATTGGCACTGGGCTGTAGCAGCTGTCGTGGGGTCCCCACACAGAAAGCCCAACACCTCGGGCACATCACAACATGCAGGGTGTGGGAACCAAGGCTGCGCAGGAGGGGGTCAGGGCTGTCCAGAAACCCCTCGGGTTCTGACCACCAAAAACACGGGCACAGTCTAAACCGCCCCATTCACGCCCAACTCTGCGGGCCCCACCTCCTCGTCATCATCATCAGCAGCAGCATCATCAGCATGATGATCATCATCATCATCATCATCATCATCATCATCAGCAGCAGCAGCAGCAGCATCATCGTCATCGACGATTGCTGTGGGCTCTGGCATCAGATGTCGTGCCTTGTGCCTCGCCCAAGCTTTGTGCTGCTATCAGTGGCGCTACCTGGTCTCGCCTCCTCGCCTGCGAGCGTGCGCCTGACCCCGACACCAGGGATGGAGGCGCTGGCTGCCCGCATCAGGCAACGCGATGAGGCAGCCGCAGCCACACCAGCACGCCACAAGGGCTAGCGTGCGATGTGTTTCTATGTTTCGCCGCGGGGCCTCCGAGGACAACGTCCTCGTCCTCATCATCATCATCATCATCATCATCATCATCATCATCAGCATCATCATCATCATCATCATCATCATCATCATCATTATCATCATCATCATCATCCTCATCATCCTCATCATCCTCATCGTCCTCATCATCCTCATCATCATCATCCTCATCATCATCATCATCATCATCATCATCATCATCATCATCATCATCATCATCACCTTCATCATCACGACCACCACCACCACCACCATCATCATCATCCTCATCAGCAGCAGCATCATAAACATAAGTATAGAAATAATACTCATAATCAGCAGAAGCAGCATCATCATCATCGTCATCATCATCGTCATCATCATCGTCATCATCATCATCATCAGCATCATCATCATCATCATCATCAGCAGCAGCATCATCATTAGTCCCCTCCACACCCTTCGCCTCACTTCCTCCACCCTCCTCCCCCTCCTCCCTCTCCCCATACCCCTTCCCTTTCCCGCCATGCCTCCCCCCTTGAGGGTCAACATGATAGGGGGTCGGATCAGGGGGGAGGGGGGGAGGGAACATCGAGCTGGAATCGGCTGTACATCGCCGATGTATTGCCGATAAGCCCCCGACAGCAATTCGCAGGTTCCTTGACGGAGTGAGCTGTGGGGGCCCTATCGGCGATGAATGGGCGATTGGAGGTCGATGCATCCCCCCTGAGCCTATCCCCCCCCTTAACGTTGCCCCTTGACTCTTCGGGTCATGACTAGGGTCTCCGGCGGCCGTTCGGGACGATCCAGGCACCCCTGGCACGCCCCTGGCGAGGCGCAGCTGCCGGATAGCATCCCGAGGCTGGAAAACCACCGAGAACCAACGAGCGTCCAAAACCTGGAACCTCGTTGCCCCAGATCGCTCCATCCTCACCACTCGTCGCCATCGCTCCTCCCTCGTGAGCCCGAGAGGCGGCCGCTGGAGGGCAGCAGGGGCCTGAGGCGCCACAGCATTCCCGCGGAGTGCCAGGTCGTCCCGGCCGTGAGCTGGTGCCTCCGCGGCCGCCGCGGCGTCGTCGTCGCCGTGTTCCTCCTATTCGTCATGCCGCTGCCGCCGGTGGCTTGGGCTCCTCATCCTCCTCATCCTCCGCCTCCTCATCCTGCTCCTCCCTGTCTCTGATGTTAGGCGGACTGAGATCAGCACGCATCTACTCCTCCTCCTTCTCCTCCTCCTCCTCCTCCTCTTCCTCCTCCCCCTCCTCCTCCTCCTCCTCCTCCTCCTTCATCACTTGTCTTTATACTACACTCCTTCCCGTCGCACACTCAGACGTGTCGGCAGGGCGGGCTGGGCGTTTCGCCTGATACTCCCTCACCGCTTGTGATCCTGAAGCTTGAAGTGTACAACAGCTTCAAGGATGTAGGACGGCACGCCTTCAAAATGTCTCTCTCGACTTAACGCCGCGCGAAATTGCCTTCAAAGTTTGCAACAGCTTCAAAGATGGAGGGCATGTCGGTTTCAAAATGTGGCTCTCGCCAAAGCTCCGCACACATTCGTTTGAAAGGTTTGCAACAATTTCAAAAATTGAGGCTGGCTATTTTCCCAAATGTGGCTCTCGCCTTAGCGTCCCGCACATTCGGTCTTCGTATCAGATTCAAGGCTGCGTATGGCTGAAGACTGAGGAACGGTGATCTGGCACGGCTTCGCATTTTCTGGGCGGAACAGTCACGTTGATTCACGGTGCTGAAATCCTAGGAGTGGCGTTCTGGCACTATTGGGGATTGTCAGGACGCAACAGTCGCGTTGATCAGCGGCGTTGAAGTTACAAGAATAATGTTGGCACGATTGATGATTATCAGACGGTTGTCTTCTCATGGGCCACTACCCGCAAGAAATATAAATCCTTGCAGGGACCTGTGAAGAGAGAACTCAGAGAGAGGGTGAATTGCGACATCGTTGATGCGTCTTGAGTTTACACTGGTCCTCGTCCTCACCCTCCGCCTCCTCATCCTCCTGCCACTCCTCCTTCTTTGACGCTAAGCAAACTTGGATCAGCACGGATATTCTCATCCTCCTCCTCCTCCTCCTGCTCCTCCTTGTGCTCGATGTTAGGCGACCTCAGATCATCACAAATATACTCCTTGTCCTCCTCATCCTCCTCCCCCTCCTCCTCCTCCTCCTCCTCCTCCATCATCTCTATTCTGTATAATGAACTCCTCCCTGTCGCTCACCCAGACGCGTCGGTAGGGTGGGCTGGGCGTTTCGCCACAGAGTTCCTCACCACTTCGGATCCTGGAGCTTGACACTTGCAGCAGCTTCAGGGATGCAGGGCGGCACGTGTTCGACATGTGGACATCGCCTTAGCGCCGCGCACGCTCGCCTTGCAAGTTCGCAACAGCTTCAAAGATGGAGGGCTGGTCGCCTTCACAATGCTGCTCTCGCATTCAAGCGCTGCGCACCTTCGTCTGAAAAGTTCGCAGGCAAGTTCAAGGGTGAAGGGCGGTTCCTTTCAGAACGTGGCTCTCGCATCAGCGCCACGCACACTCGCTTTTAAAATTCGCAGCAGTGTCAGAAAGATTGAGGGCCGGTCGGTTTCAAGATGCGCATCTCGCCTTAGCGCCGCGCACGTTCGGCTTAAAGTTCCCGACACGTGGAAGGAATCGTACGGCCGTCGTCCCAAGAATAGTGTGCTGGCACGGTCTCGGATTGCCAGGACAACAGTCACGTTGATTCGCGGTATAGGAATCCCGGGAATCGTTTCTGACGCGCTTTAGATTCGTCCGGGCGCAACAATGACGTTGATTCGCGGCGTTGAAGTCCCAGAGACGGTGTTTTGGCACGGTTGAACATTCTCAGACGTTTCCCTTCCAATGGGGACGACCCGCAGGCAAGACTTATTCTTCCAGGGACATATGAAGAGGGAACTTGGAGGGAGGGCTCCTTACAAAATCATTGATGCGCTGATGCGCCTTGGGCATACACTGGCCAGCCTCCTCCTCCTCATCATCCTCATCCTACCTCCTCCCTCCTCCCTCCTGCCTCCTCCTCCCTCCTCCTCATCCTCCCTCCTTCTCCTCCTCCCGTCCTCCTCCTCCGCCTCATCCTCCTCCTCCACCTCCTCCTTCTCCTCTTCCTCCTCCTCCCTCCTCCTCCTTTTCCTCCTCATCCTCCTCCGCCTCCTCCTCATCCTCCTCCTCCGCGGCCTCCCTCTCTCTCTATCTCTCTCTCTCTCTCTCTCTCTCCTTCTCCTTCTCCTCCTCCACCGCCTCTTCCTCCTCATCCTCAGTATCCTCCTCCTCTCCTCCTCCACCACCTCCTCCTCCTCCTCATCCTCCTCCTCCGCTTATTCCTCCTCCTCCTCCTCATCATCATCATCATCATCATCATCATCATCATCATCATCATCATCATCATCATCATCATCATCATCATCCCCATCCTCATCCTCATCCTCATCATCATCAGCATCATCATCAGCATCATCATCATCAGCAGCAACATCATCATAATCACCATCATCAGCATCCTAATCATCATCATCATCATCATCATCATCATCATCATCATCATCATCAGCATCATCATCATCATCATCAGCATCAGCATCAGCATTAGTATCATCATCCCCATCATCATCAGCAGCAACATCAGCATCCTCATTATCATCATCATCATCATCATCATCATCATCATCATCATCAGCATCAGCATCAGCATCAGCATCAGCATCATTGTCATCAGCAGCATCATCATCAGCAGCAGCATCATCATCAGCATCGTCAGCATCACCAGCATCATCAGCATCGTCATCAGCATCAGCATCAACATCATCATCATCATCCGCATCGTCATCAGCATCAGCATCATCATCACCAGATTCAGCATCATCGTCATCATCATCATACTCATCATCATCATCAGCATCATAATCATCAGCATCATAATCAGCATCAGCATCAGCATCACCACCATCAGCATCACCACCACCTCCACCACCATTACAACCACCAGCACCACCATCAGTATCATCATCATCATCATCATCATCATCATCATCATCATCATCATCATCAGCATCATCATCAGCATCATCATCATCAGCATCAGCATTGTCATCCTCGTCGGCGTCGTCGCCGTCATCGTCAGCATCATCATCGTCATCATCTTCGTCATCAGCCTCATCATCATCATCATCGTCGTCGTCATGATCATCACCATACTCATACTCGTCATCATCATCATCAGAATCGTCATCGTCAGCATCATCAGCATCATCATCAACACCGTCAGCAGCAGCATCATCAGTATCATCCGCATCATCGTCATCATCATCAGCATTACCATCAGCATCATCAACAACAGCATCTTCAGTGTCATCAACATCATCATCAGCAACAGCATCATCCTCATTAGCAGCAGCATCATCATCAGAATCATCATAATCATCATCGGCATCACCATCGTCACCATCGTCATCGTCATCATCAGCAGCATCATCATCATCAGCGTCATAATCGTCATCAACAGCATCATCAGCATCAGCAGCATCATCATCATCATCAGCATCATCATCAACAGCATCATCATCGTCATCATCATCATCGCCATCGTGATCATCATCAGCATCATCATCATGATCATCATCATGATCATCATCATCGTCATCATCATCAGCAGCATCATCAGTATCATCCTCATCACCATCATCATCATCAGCAGCATCAGTATCAGCATCATCAGCATCAGCAGCATCATCATTATCAGCATCATCATCACCACCACCACCACCATCATCATCATCATCATCATCATCATCATCATCATCATCATCATCATCATCCGCCTCCTCTTCCTCCTCCGCCTCCTCCTCCTCCTCCTACTCCGCCTCCTCCTCCTCCTTCCTCCTTCCTCCTCCTTCGCCTCCTTCTACTACTACTCCTCGTCCTCCTTCGCCGCCGCCTTCTTCTCCTCCTCCGCATTCTCTTCCTCATTATCCTCCTCCTCCTCCTCCGCCTCCTCCTCCACCGCCGCCGCCACCGACGACGACGACGACGCCTCCTCCTCATAATCCTCGTGCTCGACCTCGTCCTCCTCCTCCTCCTCGTCCTCATCCTCCTCCTCCTCTTCCTCCTACTTCTCCTTCTCCTCCTCCTCTTCCTCCTCCTCTTCCTCCTCCTCCTCCTTCTCCTCCTATTCCTCCTCCTAGCTGCCTGCTCCTCCTGCTCCTCCTGCTCCTCCGCCTGCTCCTCCGCCTCCTCCACATCCTCCTCCTCCTCCTCCTCCTCCCTCTCCTCCTCCTCCTCTTCCTCCTCCTCCTCTCATCATCATCCTCCTCCTCCTCCTCCTCCTCCTCCTCCTCCTCCTCCTCCTCCCCCTCTTCCTCCTCCTCCTCCTCCTCCTCCTCCTCCTCCTTCCTCCTTCCTCCTCCTTCGCCTCCTCCTACTACTACTCCTCGTCCTCCTTCGCCGCCGCCTTCTTCTCCTCCTCCGCATTATCTTCCTCATTCTCCTCCTCCTCCTCCGCCTCCTCCTCCACCGCCGCCGCCACCGACGACGACGACGACGCCTCCTCCTCATAATCCTCGTGCTCGACCTCGTCCTCCTCCTCCTCCTCGTCCTCATCCTCCTCCTCCTCCTCCTACTACTCCTCCTTCTCCTCCTCCTCCTCCTCCTCCTCCTCCTCCTCCTCCTCCTCCTCCTCATCCTTCTCCTCCGCCGCCTCCGCCTCCGCCTCCGCCTCCTCCTCCTCCTCCTCCTCCTCCTCCTCCTCCTCCTCCTCCTCCTCATTCTCCGCCTCCGCCTCCGCCGCCTCCTCCTCCTCCTTCTCCTCCTTCTCCTCCGCCGCCTCCTCCTCCTCTCCTCCTCCTTCACCAACCCCAGCAAATCGATCCAGGGGTGGACGCCGACGTGAAAGTGATGCCGTCGCAGCTGCAGATCCAGCCCCATCACTCGCCAGGACTCCCAGCGGAGCCGAGTGCGCCGAGCTCGAGTGGGGACCTCCGCCTCCGCGACCCATCGGTTGCAGAGAAGGCGGGGTGGGGGGCCAGGCTGAATGTC